CATAAACATAAAAGTGATGGTAAAGATCAAGAGAGGAAGAAAGAGCAGGGTGGAACTGTAGATAAAGACAGAAAAAAGAACAGAGAAAGGGAGAGAGATCAGGAAAAAAGAAAAGATAAACCAAAAAAGGAGGAAAAAGAAAGCAAGGCTGGCAATCATGACGACAATAGATTAAAGAGAAAAAGAGACAGTGAAAGAACTTTCTCTCGCAGTGATTCAATAACTGTGAAAATATTCAGACAGGATTCCAGACAAGACAGCAAAAAAAGTATAACCAAAGATAGCAAAAAACAGTCAGGCTCTGAATCTAGTGCAAGGAGTAGTTCTGAATCACCAGGAAGCAGTAAAGAAAAGAAGGCTAAGAAATCGAAGCATATTCGATCATGCTCCATGGAGAAATCTCAAAGGTCTGGTAAGAAGGCAAGCCGCAAACACAAGTCTAAGTCACGATCAAGGTAGTATACTTTTTAAGTATTTTGTCTGACTTTTTTTTTTCTATTCGTCTTCATGTGTACGACATATGAACTTTTTTAATAAAGTATGGTATTTATTAAATTTTCTTAGGCAAAAGTAACTTTGGAAAAAAAATTTAAAACTATTAATTATTAAGCCTGACGTGTGTGTGGGTTTGGGGGTTTTGTATTTTTTTCCAATTAACTTTTCCCCCTTTTTCCTTTATTTTTCAGATCAACAACTCCTCCTCGTCGTAAACGCTGAGGAATTTATGGCACCAGTGCTATGACATTTAAAAATTCCATGAGTTATAAAAGGCTTGTCTCATTATAGAGGCACATTGTGGCTATGTAGGTGAAACCAGAATCCTTTTTTTATCTGTAAATAGGTGTATTTTTTTCCAAATGCTGCTCAGAATTAAATACCTAATAGGATTTCTTTGTATTACATTTTTTCAAGAACGGTAGTGCTTAATATGAATATAAAATATGCCATTCTCTTTCAGCTGTAATGTTCTTAAAATTACTATTGAATGTACTGTGATGTCAATAAAGCTCTTTAGTTCATTTTTGTTTAAAATTCTTGCACCTGTATTTTGTATTAAAATGTAGGAAGTACTTAAAAAAAAAAAAAAAAGAAAAAAGAAAAAGGCAGCTTTTTTAGTATAACAAATTTTTAAAGTACTTGAAAAAGGATTTTAATTTGTCCAAGTATGTTATTCATGGAGTTGATGAGATTAATCTGTTGGGTGGGGGGGGGGTGGAAGAACAGAGAAGAGTCATCTTTTTTCTTTAGATGTGTAATAGATTTTAAAATCTTTTTTTTTTTTTTTTTTTTTTGGACTATCAAGTAACATATGCTTTGTGTGTAAAATATGGGTCACTGTAATCCAAGCTATACATAAACAGACTGAATCCCAGTAGGAATATGTGCAACTAACTGATCGATCTTGTGTGACAGTGTTGAGCTCTGGAACTATATTCCTCACCCAGTTTTCAGAGAAAACTTTGTGGATATTTAGGGATATTACAGGAACAAGACTCAGTATTTTAGATGTTCTATGGAATATATTCATAAATGGCACTCAATACACATTAGAAAACTGACAATAGATAGATTTTACATTTTGGCATATGCTTTAAATGTTTAGTAAACATTAAATCTGGTTATTTTTGCTAGTGTTACGAGAATTGTGATTCCTATAAAGCTAATACATTGGCTAGACAGCAACTTACTTAATTTTGTTAATGTTTTTTATATCACTATAAAGTGAATGAAATCACTGATTACCTCCTTCTTCAGGAAATGAACTACTGTTATTAGTAACAAAAACAAAACTAAAAAACCTGCAGCCCTAGGCCACTGACTGTTAGAGAAGAATGAGCATTAATTCTGGGGAAGATTGGAGACCTATTCCTGAAAGGTCTGGTATGATACCAGTTGTGAAAAAGATAAAAGGCTTAACATCAAAGTAAGATCTCTTTGATGGCTGTATCTTCTAAGAAAAAAATACACCAGTAAAGGCGACTTGCAAAGCATGTCATCTTGAACAGATTAATCCATTTAACTAAAAGTAGAATTCAGCTATGTAGCATTTTTGCCAATGTATTTTCTTTCGTAATTAGACACAGAAGTAAACTGCTTCACTGGAAAAAATACATTTTAACTATACATTTATTAAGCAAGTTAATGGCTGTTGAATACATGCATGTTTATTAAAACAATGTTACAAATAATTAGTTAATTCAGTTACGAATAGCATACATCCCAAACTGAGTACTTTTATAATAGAGTAGAATAAGCTGACCTACCTAATAGCAAAATAAGGCATAAATTTTCAACACACTACTTTTAGCGGCATTTATACAGATATGAATAATGCTATCTTGATCCAATCTCAGTACGCTATTGGCTTTCAGTAAAAGTGAGGATTTCTTGAATAGTATAGGTGGCATAGCAGCTCAAATATCTCAAAAGGACTTTGTTTTTGAGAGAGAGAAGGGAAATAAAACTAATTTTAAGAAAGGCTATTGAGGAATACAGTTTCCAATGTGCATTGAATTTGATTTTCGGTTCAGTTTTTATATTATCTGTCTACCAATTAAAAAAGATTGTATGAAGAGCTTTATATACTCTGCCAACAACTGGACTTCTGTCACTTCCTGTAAATATGGACATTATTTTTTCTGACACGAATGCACTTATATGGGTAGTGACTGTATGCCAATAAAAAGAGCATACGATCTCTGTACTTAACTGTTTCAGAAATTTTACTGAACAGCTTACTCAGCACACCAGTACTTAAAAATACGTTGGTACTATGTCAGCTTCACATACATTAGGTCTTCTCATGTTTTAGTGACTCCCTTATGAGTGTTTTTTTCAAGTGTAAAGGTTAAAATAACATCCAATCGTGATTCCGTACCTTTGAAGTGATTTTAAATTAAAATGTGTAAAATATGTGCTACAAAAATGGGAATGTGTCATTTTGGAAAAGTCTGAATTGTTTTTTTTTACTCTATTCTTCTACGTTTTTAAATAAACATTTAAAAGTTATTTTGATACTTGTGCAATGTAGGAGAGCAAGACATACAACTTCCAACTGTCATGCAGTAACTCTAAGGGAGTTCCCTTGACTTTTTTTTTTTATTTATAAATAAGGGATGGTATTGGATCAAGTGAAAAAACTGGTTTCCGTGCAAATAATGCTTTGAAGACAAACACAACAAAAAACATTGTCAATAAATACCCAAAGATACCTGTTTTGTAATCTAATAATGCAAACAGGCTCCTGCTGTGGATAGGCCAACAATAGCAAAGTAAAGCAATGTAAAGGTTGAGCAGCTACAAACTTCTGAATTATGGCATGATTCTTGGTTTGTGTCTTTGAGGGCCTGCCTATCTTAAGGCAAAAGGAAGCCTGGGCCGTGGCTTTTAAATGCTGTTATCTTAAAATTTGCATTTAATAGTGGAATAGGCACCTCTAGTTTAAAACCAGCTTATCCTGTTAAGTAAAATATATTCCAGTGTGCATGTGTTTAATTACTTGTTACTATTTTTTTCTTTAAATAGAAAATATAAAATGCAATGGCAACGTGTTGGCTCTCTTGTTCCTAGATCGTGCCTTTGCTCTGCTAAATAAATGAAAAAATATCAATTAATTTGCTTAAGGAATATACATAAGCACAGGCTGGAGGAAGGCTTAGTGTTGTGCTTTAAGGAAGCTTTTTTGCATAAAGGATTTCTTTGTCTGAGCTCCAGCTCTTCAGCAGCTCCCACATGTTACTAATGACACTAAAATCCTGCTGCATTGAGAGCAGTGCTGGGTGGAAAGCAGGCAAGTAGAGAAGCTGTACAGATGCAAACCGAGCACATTTGCCATGTATTCAGACACAGCAGCGACAAACTTCTCTGGGACTTTTCAGTAGTCTTTATTTAGATTTTTTCTTCTTCAAAACAAAACAACTGACTACCAGATGAAGTGTGATGGCAGATCTGTAAAGGTGCAGATCTCCATCAGCGCGCTGGTGGAACAGGCCCGCAGCAGGCACAGAGCCAAATGCATCGCATCGAGGCTGGGAGCGCCTGGGGATGCCTGCTCGGTGGGCTTACTGCTCCAACCCGTAGCTCAATAAAGCGTCGGGAAAGCGTCCTCTCCTTGGTCAAATCTGGCTTGGATCATTGCCACTCAGGAGTGTTAACCTAGCGCCCTACCGCAGCCAGCCAAGGGGAAGAGCTGCCTTGACTTGTCAGCACTGAACTGCTGGAGTTGCTTACGGGGGTTTACGAGTTCAAACCCCTCAACCCAACCCTGCAGCTAAATCAGCATTTTGGTGGTGCTCGAGGAAGGGACTGTCCTCTCATCGCCCCTGTAGCAACTCCTTTGCTTGCTGGAGCAGCCGCCTCTCACAGGGCTGCGACCACACTGACCTCAGCTTCTCCAGAAGCCGATGGGTAGCTGATCACGGTGTCAGCCACCCTCTGCTAGAGGAATGTTTTCTCATCCCAAGACGAGCTCAGATCAGCTCTGCACACAGAGGAAAGGGGGCACTTGTGTGGGTAAAGTCGCTGCCTCCATTCTCCAGGTGCAGCCACGGGCGAGGCTGAGGGGAGAGACCCACTGCCCGCTGTGGCTGACACGGCCGTGCCTCTGGGCAGCCTTGGGTGCGTGCTTGCAGCCATGCTTCTTTAATTTCATAAGGCTTTTTGGGAGGGGGACACGGGAAGAAGCAGCTGGAATGGCTTCGTTCGTCATTTTACGTGACTTTATGAGACAGGGAGCTCCCGCCAGCCCTGCAGCTTCTCCTCGCTGCCATTTCCCTCACACGTCCCCAGGCGCGTCCCATCAACGTGACTTCCCTCCACCTTACCCTAAAATAAAACCCCAGCAGCTTAAAAACGTCCGCTAACAACGCTCCAAACACTTTATTAATAACCTCCAGCAGCGGCCCCACACAGGCGGCTTTTAACAAGGGAAGGGGGGGACGGACCGGGCGGGCCGCGGAACGCCGCCGCGCCGCCTCAGTTGCCGCCGGACTCGGGGAGCAGGGAGCGGGGAGCGGGGCGGGCCCCGGCGCGGTGCTCGGGCGGCGGCGGCGATGTGGGGCGGCACCGGGGCCGTGTGGGGAGGCAGCCGGGCCGTGTGGGGCTGCCCCGGGGCCGTGCGGGGCGGCAGCGGCCCCGGCCCGCTCCGAGCCATCGCCCGCGCCCTGCGGGGCCGGCGGGAGGCGGCCGCGGGCGGTGAGCGGCGGAGGGGCCGCGGCGGGAGCCGGGAGCCCCGGGGAGCGCTCGGGGAGTGCGGCCGGGGCTGGGGGCGGCTGTGAGGGGGGTGCGAGGGGGGTGTGAGGGGGTATGAGGGCTCAGCTGGCATGTGCTGGCGGGGCAGGCCTGGGGAAGGGCTCCGAGAGCGGGCCCGCGGGGGTTTGTGTGAGTAATGCCCCTGCACGCCTCCAGCAGCACAGTGAGCACAGCCTGCACAGTTAATATCTCAATAAAACTGTAAAGCAGCCCTCATGACTTCTAGCGAGCCACCGGCTTCCTTTTCCTAATCCAGTCATAGCGCTGAGTGCCACATGCAGGAGTTCTTAGGGCAGCCCTGGTAAACCAGATCCCTGTGCCTCTGAGCTCTCAGCGCTGCTGTTTCCCATCCCGTCGCCCTTCTTCTGTTCATGCAGGTGACCATGGCGAGTTGTCTTTTCGGACAGGCCCAAGGGCTGCTCCGCAAAGGTATAATCACAAAGCACAGCTGGAGCCCAGTAGCACTCTGCCCGCCCCTCTCACTGAAATAAAAAGCAGCATGTAAGTAGTGCGACTAAAATAATTCCACGTGACTCCTCATCAATAATAATTTAGGTTTACTTTGTGACAGTGTCGCTTGAAGTAATTCTTAAACATCATAAAGTGTTCTTGTCGAAGCCCATTTTTGTTTTACAAATGACTAATTTAAAAATTACAGGTATGCGGCCATCTGTTTTGGAAGACACATTATACATACAGTGCAGAAGATCTGTTTGCTTTTAATCAAGTATAATGAGTCTCTAAAGGACCATGAGTTTTATTTATTTTATTTTTTTTCATTGCCTGAATATGCAGGGTTTGTTTTTCCCATCATATTTCAGGTATTAATTTCATGATACTCAGCTTTCATTATTTAGGCTCACTGCGAAGAGACTTTTCAGCACCTCACACTCATCAGTGGATCCAAAGGAGATGAAAAAATTCCAGCTCCTTGCACATAAGTGGTGGGATGAAGAAGGAGACTATGCAGCCCTTCATTCTATGAATGACATTAGAGTGCCATTTATTAGGTATGGTTCTGAAGACAGATGTTTTATACGTGCTCTATCTGTGCAACCTCAAAAAAAACCACAAAGAATAACAATTAATGATCCTTAAAGTAACTCCATGTTACATCTATTAAACCACCTTGTATGTTTGGCCTTAATCATGTCCTTTTTCTTTCAGAGATACTCTGCTGAACATGAGTAGCAATTATCATCTGGGAAGCCCGCTTTCTGGAATAAAGATTCTGGATGTTGGCTGTGGTGGTGGACTGCTAAGTGAGGTAAGAAACAGGGCACTCTGTTTCTCTTGTTTCTCTAACCCTCAGAGAAGGGGCTTTCTCTTTCATGGTAGTTTAGTTGCCAAATGTTCTGAAGTATTCTACAAACAGCATGGACTCCTGAGCAGTCTGCAGAAACTTGGGAATGAGAAGTAACTATTTGCAGTGGCTGTATTCTGTCAGTAGACTTTGGGTATTTCATAAATTTAGCATGACAGATCTGGCTGAGTTATTCTAGGAACTGCATCAGCATCTGAAGTGAAGTGTTGCAAAGGCACCTGAATTTCTCTCTTTTTTTTTTTTTTTTTTCTTTTTTCCCTCCCCCTCTAATACATGCTAAGCAAAATGCTGTGGTCTTTTGACAGTCAGCTCTCTGACAAGACTGGCAAAACTGATCTGCTGTGTGGCCTTCTCAGGCTGAATGACCGGTGAATTTCAGGTTGGAATAACATACATGTGGTCATGTTCTGCAGCCTGTTTCAGTTTCAGAAGAGGTGATGACTGAGGTGTTAACCTATGAGTAAGAAGACACTGGAGAAACTTGAGTGACAGCCAAGCGTGATGCTATCCTAGCAAACATCAGTGTTTAGTTCTCAGCAGTGAGAAAGTACCAGAGATAATCATGCATTAAGTAACCATTAAAAAGATATGAGGATTTACCATTACAGGTGGATGTCAGAGAAAGTAATGACAGTAATTAAATTTGGCATTGTTTTCTCCCCTTTGAATACTGTTGATTCTTCCTCTTTGTCTTTCCAGGATCTGCAGGTAATGGTGGAGGAAATCTTTGAACTCAGAACAGTTTATTCTGAAAAACAACTTAAATGTATATATTCCAGTATATAATTCTGTGTTTGAGAAAATTATTCCCCCCCATGCACTAAATGTGTGTTTCTTCCCCTGTAATAACCATTTAAAACAAAACTGCTGGATCAGCATTCATCGTTTATTGTTGTTTGTCTTGTTCCCAGACAGGTGTTCTCTGCACCGTTTGTGTACGTTGCAGAGTTGCTGACACCTTTAAGTAAATTGTTTTCGTGCAGAGAATAAATTCTACTCTGTATTATTAGCCTCTAGGTAGACTGGGAGCTTCAGTTACCGGAATTGATCCTCTGGAGGACAACATTAGAACAGCAGATCAGCACAAGTCATTTGATCCAGTTCTGGCCAAGAGAATACAGTACAAGTCCAGTTCACTGGATGAGATGGTAGAAGAGTGTATGGAAACGTTTGATGTAATTGTAGCTTCAGAAGTAGTGGAGCATGTGGCTGACCTTGAAACGTTTATCAAGTGTTGCTCCCAGGTGTTAAAGGTAAGAGAGTTCTTGCTTTCATTATTGGGAATATTTATTCTCTTTTATTATCAAGGCTTTAACTTGAAGCTATGTGAAAACACCAACCTCTGCATTCATTCACCCTGAAGTGCTTGAGGTCTGAATCATGCTCTGGAGGTGCCTCCCGTTCTCCTTGATAATGCGAGTACATCTTCCTGATCTTCCCAACTTTGGGAACCTGAAGTGGGAGGAAATTTATTTCCCCAGCCCTGCCTTAAAAAAGTGCTAATGACACTGCCTAGTGTTGAAATGTTGCTTTGCATCAAGACCTTAATAAATCTGAATGCGTCTGATTTCATCTAGGTAAGAGGAAACATGGCTAGTGTTAATTTAAAAAAATATAAAATAAATCTTTTTGTAATAGGCATTGTAGAGACCTTACACCTATCTTTTATTCATTTCCTGGGCAATATTAGAAATGACTTTGTTAGGTGTTTTTGGGGCAAGGAAATGGTTTTCAGGCCATGCCAAAACTTTGGTTGTGCTAACTTTTTGAGGACTACCAGGTGATGATCTTAGAAGATTATATTCGGACTTTTTTATTGTATATGTATGCTTGTAAATAACCTGTCCTGAGATGAAATTAGTTCTTACTCTTGCAGCATATCAACTTGTAGATAGACAAGTAATGTGTTTTAATGCAAGTAAATATGCAGTTCATTTTTTTTTATTAAATATTATTCTAACTGATCATTTTAATATCTTAATTAGCCTGAAGGTTCTTATTCATTACTACAATCAATAAAACACAGTTGTCCTATATCCTGGGAATTGTGGTCGCAGAGAAAATAGTAGGCATCGTACCAGAAGGAACGCACGAGTGGGAGAAGTTTGTTCCCCCTGAAGAGCTGCAGCGCCTCCTGGAATCGCGTAAGTACCAGGCCAGGTGATGGGAACACAGAGAGAGACTCAGATGCTCACTGGAGAAATGGCAAGGGGATGAGATAGGTGGGGTGATGGCTACCAACAAGGGAAAAGGCCAAGCAAGGTTTTCCATCCTGTCCTGATGGCAGGATGTGTGCCCTGACGTGCTTCATATCTTCCAGGTCAGGTGTCAGAAAATAACGGTATTGGCACTCGGGAGCTGCACTGCTGCTATTGCTTTGTCTGTCGTCTTCCTGTTGGGAGGAGGTGTTCTTATTTCTGGTTACTGCTCTATGTTCTTGATTCTTACTATGTTACTTAAAGATTTCTTTAAGAATGTGAAGATGAAACCTACCACAAATTCATTAGTCAGTTACTGACAAACTGTACCATGCTGATTTGAACAAATAATTTAATTTCTGTGGTTTGATTGCTTTTAAAATAGACAAAGCACTGAGCTGGAAGAGTTTGCTCATTGCCCTCCTTCTCTGCAGATGTTTTAAAACCCTCTCACCTCATATTTGCTTTAGTTCTCTGTAAAGAACTTGGAGTATGAGTTGTTATTCTTTCAGTAAGGATCATGACTAACACCTGTTCACATGCTGGTGGTTCTTTCCATTCTCTCTTTAGAAGGAGAAGCAGGTGCTGTGGAGCGATTTGTTTTGATAGGGTGTTTGTTTTCTGCCTTGTCTCGTGCATCCCCCTGGGACACAGCACAGTCATGCAGTGAACTGAGAGCTGCTCAGCAGGGAGTGCTAAATCCCTCTGCTTGTGCTGAGTCCGTGATTGTGTTCTTCTGCCTTTCCTGTATTTCCCATTGTAAAGGGAATCTGCAAAACCCTTCCAAAGACTTGCACACATTTTGATTTTGAAATATATGGTGTCGATCTGAAGGATGTGTCTGCCTACAGAAAATGTTACTGTTCACCACAACGTGGTGGTGTGAAGCTGGGGTTGCTAGCAGGCTGCTTTGCAGAGGCTCACCATGTAGCGTGGTAATGGTGGCCTGGCACAGGGCTCCTGCTGCTGCCACCAACAGCAAGGACCAGCAATCACCAGCACTGCCAGTGGTGATGCTGCTGTCACTGCTTCTGGTGGTATCTGACAAAAACAAGCTTGTGAAGCACTGTCCACAGCTCAGTGGAATAATTTCAGACGCCATTCTAAAGTGCTTTATGTAGCAGCGATTTACAGTATGTGAAGACAGTTGCTGTATGCCTTCTTACTTTTCTAGATGGCTTCTCAGTTCAGGCTGTGAACGGGATGTTGTACAACCCCCTGACGGGGTCGTGGAGCTGGATGGAAAGCACGAGCATTAACTATGCGATGCACGCTGTGAAATCTGGTGCTGGGGGACCGTCAAGCCCAACAGAGTCTCTGTCAGAGATGGAAAGCGAGCAGCGCTCAGCCACAGCTGGCACCAGCGTGTGACCATCTGAGATGCGTGCTGATGGACTGCCCCAGGAACAGAAAAGGTTTTACACAGATGGACATAATAAAGCCTTTTGTGACAACAAGCTTGCTGTTTGCATTAATAATGCTGACGCTATTTTGGCCAAATATTTTCGGGCAGTCTCAGAAAAAAACAAGCGCCCATTATCTCAGGAATCATTTAAGATTGAAGTGAGCAAAGCTTTTGAAGAATAAATATTTTTATGAGAGAGTAGTTTCAAATTAATCCGTCAAGAGCTTCCCTCCAAGCTATTATGTGTGATGGTGTTTGTGTGTGATCTGAGGAAAACCCAGGTCTCCAGAGAATGACAGCTTAAGTGTAGCGTGAGTTTGAAAACAGTGTTTGAGAACTGAAATGCTTTACATGTATCCGTTACACAACTGAGTCAGTTAAAATACACAAAACACTTCAGAAAACACCACTTGTTTCCATATTGTGCTTCCTCCCTGAGAGGGAAAAGATAAAGAGAGCAGCAAACCTTTTCTGTTGGGTCGTGCTATTTCTACAGTTGATGTGAGCTGACTGACTGCAGTGGAAGAAGAATTTCCTTGCCCAGAATGCCTCTATCTCAGAAGTCTTACCACGGTAAAGGTACTTCAAGGTACTTTGTCTGCCTGTTGTTTCAACCTTCTTCTACCTGAATAAAAGGAGCAACCAGAGCTTTATGCTTGAAAAATGACACGTTAGCAGTCTATCCTAGAATTGCAATGCCACACCTAGTCAGATGTTAAGTCCTGGTGCCAGGGTAAGGAAAAGTGTTCATCTGCTCTGAAATAGGACTTTCTAAATAAAATGTGTTATGTGTGTTTATGGTTGTATCTCTTTCCTTCTCTTTCTTTCAGCTGTGTCGGTAGAGAGGTGGGCTGGCCATACTAACTTGCAGTTTGCAGGGGTGACAACTAAGCTTTTTTTTCTGCTACTTGGGCATTTCTACTGTGGTTTGCATTATTGCTGTTTTACTGCATGGTACCTTGAAATCCACATTTCATGATGGATCTGATGATGTACATAAGAATGTAGTTAACTGGTAATGTAAGTAATAGCATTCATAGATACTAATACTGAAAAGGATTCTCTAGTGTGAATGTTTCTATGACAGTAAATGCTGCTTTGTATTACCTGGGCAATAGTTTGGCTTTTGGTAAGAAAAATTCCCAAGTTTGGTGATGGAGAAGGCACTGTAGATGAGGAAATTGTTCCGAAAGTTCATCAGTTGAAATGGTTTAAACTTGGATTCCAGCCAGTGATGTCCTAACATTTTTTTTTTTTGTAAATGCAATTGGTGTAGTTTTGAGTCAAGTCATCCTTTAATCTCAGTCTATTTACTCAAGAGAAAATTATTTCTACAGCTACTACTGCCACAGTGTAAGTTTCTGAGTTTGTATAAAATTTTATACAAAGAACCTGAATCCATTCCAGTTCTTGCTCTTCCTTTTTGCAGCATGACAGCGGAGATGGATGCAGTGTGTGAGCAGTTTGCAGTAGTAACTCCCTCATTCTGCTCTGCCTGACCTTGTTCTTTCGCATGGGAGCCTCCACTCCCTTGGTCACCTGTGCAAAGAAGGGCATAGTGTTTGGGAGACAAGCGACACTGGGAAAAATGTGCACAGCAGATAACTAGCAGGCTTTGTTCCTAACCCTGTGTTTAAGCATTTTAAACTCTGTAGTTTGAGCTCCCTATGCTAAGTAACCAACTTCAGTCTAGATGACTTTCAAATCTCATCAACAGTGAATTGAAATAATACCTGAAAAGCACTGAGACCAGGACAGATTCCTGCAGGAGCCCACTGGAAACATTCCCTGAGGGAGATAATACCCTATTTACCTGTTTGCTTTGAGACCAATTAGGTAAAATATGATTAAAGTAATTAAAACTGGGATAGAACAGCTGATTCTAGCTTGCTTTAAAAGTCTTAAATCCAAGTATTTACATAAGTAGCTGTTATCCTGGCTTTCTAGTCCTTGCTTGTTGCATACTTGTATTTATCGTTAAGCTGTGAGCTGCCTGGGGAAGGAACTGGTTTTGTTTGTTTTGACTGTATTTCTATGGCATCTAGCACAAAAACCCTTGATGCTGCTTGGGTTCTCTGCCCAGCCTCACAGAAGAGCTCGTGTACCTAATTAACAATGGCTGGCATTTAAACAACAGGCACATGGGCCTGATTGCCCAGGGCTCCTCCTGTTGATGAAAACCTTAGCACAGGCTCATCTGCTGCTGCTACCTGTGTGTAGGAGCCCTGTCAACATAGGAGAGCTCAGTGGGTAGGGTGGGCTGCTTGAACGGGTCCCTGTACCCATGGCACCTCTCCAGATGTCCCCATGTGTCCCATCCTTGTGGTGGTTTCACCCTGAGGGGCAGCTCAGGTCCAACATACCCCTCTCTCATCCCACCTCAAAACATCAGGGGGAGAAAACATGATGAAAAAAGGCTTGTGGGTTGGGATAAGGACAGGGAGCTCACTCAACAATTACCATCACAGACAAAACAGACTCAGCATATGGGAGATTAATGTAGTTTACTGCCTATCACTAGCAGACTACAACAGTACGAAAACAAAAGCAAACTAAATACACCTTCCTCCCATCCACCCTCTACCGTGTCCTCTCCCTGAGTGGTGTGGGGGAACAGGAAATGGGGGCTGCAGCCAGTCCCTAACGCTTCATCTCTGCCGCTCCTTCAGGGTCACTCTCTGCCCCTGCTCCATGTGGGGTCCCTCCCACAGGATGCCATCCTTCCTGAACTGCTCCCACATGGCTCCATACCATGGGGTCCATCCCCCAGGAGCAAACTGCTCCAGCACGGCTCCCCCACGGGTGGGCAGCAGCTCCCCCCAGACTCCCTGCTCCTGCGTGGGCTCCTCTCCACAGGCTGCAGCTCCGGCCCGGGGCCTGCTCCTGTGGGGGCTCTCCATGGGCCACAGCCTCCTCCAGGCCACATCCACCTGCTCCACCGGGGGCTCCTCCACCCACGGGGGGGCTGCAGCATGGAGATCTGCTCCATGTGGGACCCATGGGCTGCAGGGGGACAGCCTGCTCCACCGGGAGCCTCTCAATAGGCTGCTGCGTGCCTGGAGCACCTCCTGACCTTCTGCTGCACTGGCCCTGGTCTCTGCAGGGCTGGTTCTCACTCTTCTCTCCCAGCTGCTGTTGTACAGCAGTTTTTTTTTTTTTTCCTTTTCTTAAATCTTAGCCCCCAGAGGCTCGACCAGCTTCACTCCTCGGCTCAGCTCTGGCCAGCAGTGGGTCCTCTTTAGAGGCAGCTGGAGCTGGCTCTGCTCTGACATGGGACAGCTGCTGGGCTCTGCTCACAGGGGCCACCCCTGCAGCCCACCACTACCAAAGCCTTGCCATGTAAACCAAATATAATCCTCAGTCCTGAATTTTTCTCTCCTGATGGAAAATCCTAACTATATTCTGCCTATATTTTATCCTTCTGGTTAAAGCAACCTATTTGTAAGAGAGAAAGTAAATGACTGCACTAGAGATAACTCTAGTATGATATTAAATACTGCAAAAATATCTTATTCTTTTATTTTTTTTTTCAAAAAAAGATCCTTGATTAAAAAAAAAATAAATCCTTGATTTATTCATAATTTTTCATCCTGACACAATATAATTAGGTTCAGTACTATGCACTGAACATGTGCTAGCTATTCATGCTGCTTACACTTTTTTTTCTTTCTTTTTTTTTTTTTTGTTATTTGTGATTGGAAACATTTAATGCTTCTCTTAGCCTAGTTGCTGTGGAAATTTAATATGTGCTACTGAAGTGGACAGAAATTAAGTCAAATAAATTTGCAAATCTTTGGCTTTCCTTTTGCAAGTTTTTCATGAGTATGGAGCCATAGCCTGGAAGCTAACAAGAATAGCAGTAGTAGGGGATAAAAATAAAAATAAAATAAAATAAAATAAAATAAAATAAAATAAAATAAAAGTAAAGTAAAAGCCATATAGCACCAGGTAGACACCTGGGACTAGGTGTAAAAGGTGAGACAGAGCAAACTGTTCTGGCTTGTGTCAGCTGCTCTCAGTCCACACAGTACCACCTCATCACTGTGTCTGATGCTCGTCCAAGTTGTCTGTGCACTGATTTTTTTTGTTGTTTGTCCTCTTTTTGGGGGGTCAGTGGTGGTTCTGCTGTTCATTGAGCTGAATATTCCCACTGTCAAGGACCAGCACCAGCTGGGGCAGTGGGAGCATGTGGCCAGGGCTGCGGCACAATGGCCCTTCGAGTGGCAGTAAGCTTTTAGCAAGCTCAGTTTCCCTCGTGGAAGTGCGCTTTCAGATAATAATTGCAACATTAATTGCCCTCCAGCCTAATCTGAGTCATATGAGATCCTTGAAGAGATTTGCATTTAATTTCCTTTTTAAATAAAACCAGAACCTGAAGTTTGCATGATGCTTTATTACACTCTCTCATTGCCCATTGTTCCCTTGTGGCCAAGTGACTTTTCCCAGTCATTTTAACAGAACTTTAAAATGTCTTTACATGTGTTTTCACAAGCACCCTGTGTCTGTTCCCTAGGGAATGGAAAAGAAGAGGGAGAAAGTAGTTGGAACAGAAAAGCGTAGTGGCTGTGAGTAGAAATAAGAATAGAGACTATCTTGTAGAATATTTTTCGGAGAACGGCTTCTGAAGTTCTTTCATTATGCTGAAATCTCAGCTTTAATTAAAAGAGAGAGAAAAAAAGAGCTTTTTCCACATACTTCCAAGAAATACTTGAAAGGAAGAGTCGCATACAGTCTAGAGGTTCAAAAGCCAACAGGCCCAGCTTCTATAATTAACCGGTCTGATGAAGCAGGCTGGAGAAAAAGACAGACAGAAGGAATAGGAGCCACCCTGTGAGTGTCGGTAATGTAGCTGTGGTGCTTTGAGACGAACCCAGGAGCATCTGGACTGCAGGACAGCACTGAAGAGCCAAAACCATAGAGGGAAGAACAGTGACTGCTGGAAGAGGAATATAGTTCTGAAAGGCAACTGCAACGTGAAACAACAGTACGTGGGGCAGTCAGCTTCAGCTGTGCTTGCAAGATGAACTGTGGATGATTGGGAGAGTGCCTCTTTGGCAGGTTACAGAACATGTCCCGTATTCACAGCCTGCCATGTGTTTGTGAATTAATCCCTGGTGCCTTTTACCAAATACATATGTCCTTGCAGAGATCCTGGAAAGGGAAAGTGGGTTCCTCTAGCTTCAAACTGAGTATTGGTCACTCGTTGCTTGTGTGGAGCTGCCAGCTCCCTCACTCATGGGAAGACCACCGAGAGGCAGAGCCTGCTGCCCCCATCTTCCCATGTCTTGCTGTTTCCCTCCAGCAGAGCCCACAAGTGCCCAGCTCAGAGCGAGCAGGCACAGTGTGCCCATTTCACAGGCAGGCAAGCTGAGGCCCAGAGCTGTGGGTGGCTGTGGGCACCTTGCTGGAGCTGGCAGCAGAGCAGCGCCCAGGCTCACGGCTTTCAGTGCAGGGCTCGCTGTGCCAAACAGCACAGCAAGGGAAGCAGCAACATTTAGTTTGCAATTATCCTTCAGCATCTCTAAAGCAGGCTTTGTGGTTTGTTGCCTTCTGCGCTGTCTCAGAATAACTTTCTGTTTTTTTCCAACCTACTGTGACTTTTATTGCATTGTCTCCTGCTTCGCGATGGGATAAGTGACCAAAAAATCGTTCCCATTATGTGATGCATGTCTTGCTGTCGTAACCACGTATCTTTTCCTAGCTCCCCTCCAGTGAAAGGTAAGACATTGCTTTACAGCCCTTTCAAAAGCAATTAATTCTGCTTGGACTGAAGACTTAGATAAATTTGAATACAAATAACATTATTTTCAGATGATGTTTTCAACCTGTATTTCCCCTGTTTCCCTCAGGCTATAGGATTAAACTCTAATCATTTAATACTAGTAGACCTTTGTATTGACACACTCAAGCCCCATTTGCTTGAAGCAATCTGATGTCATGTTTTAACCTAGCCCGAAGGGCTGGGGCATCATCCAGGATGTAAAATCACCTGACCTGTCTTGGCGTACCCGTGCATTAACTGCACCGCCACCTCTGCTGATGACATCAGCGCATTAGGA